TTCTCTCTCTGTCAGAAGTTACCAGTTTTAGTCCGAGAATTTTTTGCTGGTAAATTCTGGTAAATGTGTCAAATGATCAGCTGTAGTGTGTTTGGCAACCAAATTGTAAACAAAAGAAAAGTGCACTCTGCTAATTCATGTTGGAGAGTATTTAATTACTTGTTTAAGTGGGTTCTAATGAATTTGAAAGTGTTTTAGTTACTTACATGTGTGAGCTGAGTGTGTTTACATACAAAATAAGCAAAAATTTACAACCAAAATTTGGAGGTTATGTTGAAGTTGACAGAAGTTACCATTTTTTACTAGAAAGCGATCCCGTACTTTTCAATGTTACTCTCTCGCTCTGAGAGAATTTTTATTTTTTGACAGTTTTACTAGTCCGAGTCCGAGGAATACGGGATTGAACCTATAGATTTAGTTGCGAAATATTTATCTTCCATCTCGCTTCGATACACTTCTTCATCCTGAGACGGGCCGGCGAGATCATCAATGCTATTTTGTATCTCTTCATACTGTGAAAATAGTTCATCAAGTTTACTGATACGCACCTTAACTTCGTCTAAAGATGCGTTTTGATTCAGACAGAATGTGTAAATACGAGTCATGGAGCCCTTTATGACCTGACGTTTTTGTTTGAGATTTTCCATTTCCACAGACAACAATTTTCTATTTAAAGATTATTTGTGTATAGAGATTTATAAATTCAGGAGTTTTAATTCAAATATTAGAGATACTAAAAATAATTTGGGTGGATATTTACATATATGTATATCATTTAGTAATTCAATCGTACAGAAGTGTTTAGAGAACCTAAACTAAATATTTAGTATATTTGCATACAGTAATTAGGTTTTAAATTTCGTGGGTATACACATACACTTATACATATGTTGAATAATTTGAAGTCGTTCATCTACCTTGAGTTTGAAAAATCTTTAATATTCAATGGAATTTGCTTATATACGTGTGGTCTTAGACCTTAGTAAACAGTTTGAGCAAACACTCACTGTAATTTTTTGTTTAAGTACAAAATGTTTCATTTATTCGTGGACTGTTTTGTGTGTGTATCTTCAAAAACGCAATTTTTTTGACAGCCAACGCCAGTTTGTTCGCTTTGCGTAAATGTACATGGTTGCATTAGTTATTAGTTATATT